TCCAGCCTGACATTGTTGCTCTTCAGTACTCTTGAGAGGTCCCTCACAGCCGACTTTCCCAATGCAATTTGTTTCCTGATTTCCTGGCTTCTGTTACCAAGAGTGTTGACTGTGGAGCCAAGTAAATTAAAACTGTTAACTATCTCAATCTCTTCACCATCCATGCTGATGCTGCCAATTGGCCCCGTGGTTAGAATCTTTGTTTTCTTGACGTTTATTTGTTGCAGATAATTTATTTTTTAAAAATCCTAAAAGGAGACTACACATATGAATCACATCTGATGGAATACGCAAGATTAGATCTGTGAAAAGCTATGATGGAGAAGCTGAATACAATCATCAAAACAAGGCCATGGACCAAGGAACAATCATCAATTGTTCCTATGTTAGTTCAAACTGAAGTTGAAGAAGTTAATAAAAGCCTATGAGAGATAAAATACAACTTTCACTTATCCCACTTAAATTTTTAAAAAATTTAAAAAATAAATTTGGTTTCTTGACCATTAATTACCAAAGATTAGAAACTTCATGGGGTGGAATCAAAGACATAATTAATGAATGAAGCAATCTCATTAAAAAAGACAGAAAAGACTAAAGTGGTTGGTTGAAGAGATTTGGAAACCTGTTCTTCGATTTGTAGAAAGAAAAAAGAAAGGATAAAATATGATACCCAGATGGAAGATTTTGAAGCCAATTCAAGAAGACAAAACTAAGCATTATAAAGAAATGTGCAAGTGCAACAATGAATGAATGGAAATCCAAAATCTCTGTGAATGTTCATTAAAGTTAATAAAATTTAATAAAAATTTAAAAAAATAAAGCAATGTGCAGAGCTGGAATTAGAAAACCAAAAGAGAAAACAACACTCAGCATTCCTCACAGTGAAAGAATGGAATAAAAAACTCGAGTGTCAAGTTTCTTTAGTGAGAAATTCTATCAGTAAAATATTAGAAAATGAAAACTTCAAAAGAAGATGGAAGAATTGTGCAGAATCACTGTACCAGAGGTTTGGTAAACACGGAAACATTTTGGGAAGTAGCATATGATCAAGAACCAATGAAAATGAAGGAAAATGTTCAGTCTGCTCTGAAGATATTGATGTATAACAATTTTTCCACTTTGGCTCAGATAGCTAAAGATATGAGAAAAAAAATAAAGTTCCCAAGTATTGATGGAATACCGTAATGATTTATTTCCACGAATAGATGTGTCTTTTGCTATACTCACTCTATGCAAAAAAATTTGGAAGACAACTACCTGACGAACGAACTGGAAGAGATCCATTTATGTTCTCATTAAGAAAAAAAAAGGTGACCCAACAGAGTGCAAAAATCATTGAACAGAGGGGCAGTAAATCACACTGAAATTGTATTGTTTGTCTTCTTAAATGTACATGTATACATGCAATAACTAGGTGCTATGTGATTTTAATGAATGTATTACTGTAGAATGCTTCTGAAAATTCAATAAAGTTGTTAAGTTTGAACAGAAAAACAGCACTGAAATATACCAATTATAAGACATATAAGTAAAATCTTACTGAAGATTATTTTAAAATGGCCAGAACTATAATAATACATCAGCAGGGAACTGCCAGAAATTTAAAGGAGGTCATGAAACAAGGGATGTCATTGCTAATATTTGATCAATTTTTAACTGAAAGAAGAGAGAATCAGAAAGATATTTGAGGGAAGCTCTGGTGGCCTGGTGGCAAGAAGCTGCACTGTAATCCCATAGGTGCATGGTTCGAATCCACCAGATGCTCTGCCGGGGAAGGAGGGACAATTTCCTCCTGTACCAGTCAGATCCGATTTGACGGTACACACACATACACACACACAATAAAAAAATTTAAAAAGAAAGATATGTGTGCTTAATTGACTATGCAAAGACATTCAACAGTGTATGTCAAATAATAAATTATGGATAACAATGAAAAGAACGATGATTCTAGAACACTTAATTGTGCTCAAGTAGAACTTACACAAAAAGAAACAGTTGCTAGAACAAAACAAGGAAAGACTGTTGTTATTGATGTTATGTGCTGTTGAGTCAATTATGAATCATAGCAACTCTATGAACAATAGCTCTCAACCCTGCCCCGTCTTAAACCAACCACACTGTCTCTGACACACATACCTCCATTGCCATAGACACCGTGTCAATTCTTCTCATCCAGGGTCTTCTCCCCTGCACTGATTCTCTACCCTACCAAGCATGATGTCCTTCTCCAAACTGGTCCCTCCTGACAACATACTTAAAGATATATAAGGGTAGACTACATCATTTAAATTCAGGAAAGGCACGTATGTGTCAGGAGTATAGCTTTTTTCCATACCTATTTAATCTGTGTGCTGAGAAAATAATTTGAAAAATTAAATTATAAGAGGATAAATGTGACATCAAGGTTAGAGGAAGAATCATCAATAACTTTATTTGCAGAAAATGTGTTGCTTTCTTTAGATAGATAGATAGATAGATAGATAGATAGATAGATAGATAGATAGATAGATAGATAGAGATAGATGAGTGGTATGTATGTGTTCAATAGCCTTATTTTATTTTTAGTAGATTAAAATCTACTGTGACTTTGTTTTCTCTGAAAGCAGATGTAAATGAATATATAGAAGAAGTGGGATAAATTTCACTTCTAACTCCATTTCAGATACCTACCTGAGCTTGGGCAAGCTATTTAATAACTCAAAGTACTAATTTTTAAATATGGAAAGCAAGGAAAATAGTGCCTAATAGAAGTTATAGTTTTGTATCAGATCTCAATAAGTCATTTTTTATTTTGTATTTTGTTATTGTTTAGATTTTTAGAATTTTCACATTTCTCTGCTACATATATGCTTAACAGCATCTGCAAATATCCGGTATTACAAATAATACGTTCATAATTTATGTTGGAATTACTTTAGGTTTGTGGTATCCTTATAATGCAACATGGAAGGAAATATTTTTATATATTCAGATATTTAAAGGTAATGTATAATGGGAAACAATAAGATTATGTTAAAATTTTAATATCTATAGGTCTTTCAATGGGAACAGTAGCACTCTTTTTTCTAAATTTTTTTTTAACAGTAGCATTCTTAAATAATGATAGATTGCCATTACACACTGTCTTTCAGAGACCTTGACAGAAAAAATGATTAACACTATGTTCTTAATTTGAGAAAGCATATTTCAATAATTCCATGGTCCTGCAAAAATTCTTGAATAATTAAAAGAAAATTGAAACAACAATTCCAAATATTGTGTTTCTTATACAAATGATAGGAGAACCTGAAATATGCTTGCGTTTGTCAGATTATACCTAGAAATTCTATGCTTTCCAAACTTATTAGAGTCTTATTTATATATTATATTTAGGTAGTGACTTTTTCCCCTAGTATTTGTTCAATATGTTGAAAATGGAAGTTAAAGCAGTCTGAACCAATTTATTACACCAGAAGTGGCCATTTAGGACATTATTCCTAAGAGATCATAACTAGTTTGTAATACATTTTAGTTGAACGTCTTTTATATTCAAATTAGTTAACTTCTTAAATAGTATTTGAATTAAAAATCAGTGTGTTTAGAAATTTAATATTTTATTTACAAAGTGGTTGTTTTCTCTTTTCTCAGTATCCTTCACTAAAAATCTTATCTAAAGTCAGTTTTATAACTTGGATGAAATTGTTTCAGAATTGTATGAAGTTTTCTCTTTTTCAGAGTTCTTTTCATAGCACTTATTACTTCTGTATTTCTTAAACTATAGATAAAAGGATTTAGTAAAGGAATTACCAAAGTATAAAAAATAGCAACTGGTATGTCTTTATCACCTTCTTTAGCTGAACTTGGCCAAACGTACATGAAGAAAAGAGAGCCATAGAATATTGAGACAGACAGAAAATGAGATGCAAAAGTAGATGAGGCTTTACCTTTTCCATCTTTGGATTTCATTTTGAAAATAGTAGAAAGGATGCAAAGATAAGAGACTAAAACTGTTGTAACTGTAATAATTTGAATTCCTCCTGCGATGATAAATACTATGAGTTCATTGATGTATGGATCAACACAGGAGAGTCTATATAATGGAAGAATATCACAAAAAAAGTGGTTGATTTTATGAGATCCACAGAAAGTTAACCTTAAAAGAAGAAATACATGAATAACAGAATGTACATTTCCAGCTATGTATGCCCCTATGATCATTTGAATGCAGATTTGCTTTGACATCATGGTATGGTAGTGCAGTGGACGGCATATTGCCACATAGCGATCATAAGCCATAGCTGCTAGGAGAAAGCAGTCTACAGTTTCAGCAAGACAGAGAAAGTAAAATTGTCCCATGCATTCATAGAGAGAAATCTTTCTGTCCTCAGAAAAGAAATCCTCCAGTATTTTGGGAGAAATGGCACTGGAACAACAGGAATCCATCAGCGCCAGGTTACCAAGAAAGATGTACATTGGTGTGTGAAGACGGTGCTCCGTAACAATCAATGCAACCAAACCAAGATTCCCCATCATGGTGATTAGGTAAATGACAAAGAACAGCACAAACAGAAGGGTATTCAGATCTGGGTGGTCCATCAATCCCATGAGTACAAACTCAGTGGTCAAGGAGTGATTGTGCTTGGTCATCTCTGCTTTCTCTGCTGAGTAAGGAATTGTAGAGAAATAGGATTCTGATTTAGACTGAGTACAATTTTATCTTTAAATTTCACAGAGTGGAGCCGCTTCTTCAAGCTTCCCCTGCTGTCTTTGAAATGTAGACACCATTCTAGGGAATATTACTTCCTTTAAAGTGTCAACTTATCAGACTTCAATTCTTCAGGATTGCTGTGCACTAGAACATCAGAGCTGTAGACTTCAACCCTTGAAACTCCTAATTCACAAGAAATATTGTGATAATGCCAGGAAAATTCTTATAGTGAATCTGTTACTTTCAGAATTTAAACAGAAATAATGTACACTAATTCTAACATAACTTAATGTCAATTTTATATTGGCAACAGTTCCTTGATCTCTCTCAAGTCTTTCCCACTATGAAAGTATTTTATACATTATTATAATGAAATGAATATTTTAAAACAACATATCCTACTGTTGTTTTAGTTATTAGGTGTCATTGATTAGAGCATGACTCATAGCAACCCTGTGAAAAACAAATTTGAATCCTGTCTTATTCTGTGCCATCCTCATCATCTCTAAAACAAGTGAGCCCATTGCTGCAGTCACCATATCAATCCATCTCAAGTGGAGTCTTCCTACATATAGAAGAATCAATGTCTTTGAATTGTGCTGGAGAAGAGTATTGAACATATCGTGGACTGCCAGGAGAACAAACAGGTCTGTTTTGGAGAGGGTGAAACCAAGTTGTTCCCTGGCAGCAAGGATTTTGAAGCTCTATCTCACATACTATGGGTACGTGGCCAGGAGAAACTAGTCCTTGGACAAGGTCATCATGCTTGGAAGGGTAAAGAGACAGTGCTGAAGAGGAAGACCCAGGATGAGATGGATTGATTCAGTGACTGGGGAAATAATATTAGGTCTGTCAGAGATGATGAGATTGGTTCAGGATTGGGCCCAGGGTTCAGAGCTATTGTACATAGAGTTGCTATGAGTCACTCATGAGGTAACTTGATGGCACGTAACAACTACAACATAGGTGTATTGATTTACAAAGATCACAAAAATCATTAAATATTAAGATGGGGATTATTTGACAAAAATTATCTTCAAAAGTTACAGAAATAAAAGCTGTATTTTCTTAATAAGTTAACTGTTGTACATAGTCTTTGTGTTTCTGTTAAGATATGTTGCTTTGACAGAGTAAATTTTCTGTTAGTAGTTATAAGCAAAATATTATTTTCCTCTTTTATCTGATTTTCTATTTCTTACCTTAAATTTTTTTTGTTCTACTATTAGGAAATATAGTAATCATATTCTAATAGTTATAAGTATATCATAAAATATTATAAACATCCATTATTTGTCTTTTCCACTGTGTTCCATAGAAGCGATGTGGCACCTGATTACTTATTTAAGGTCACATTCTTCTGATCATTTCTGCATCTGTCTATCTTTAGCTCAGTTAAGTGGTCATCTCCTTATGTTAGCATAAACAATGCTCAGATGCCAAGAAGATTTCAGTATTTGTTATCTCTAAATCCAAATTATTTAGGATAGTCTTTTCGTTTCTTTATAGCCTAAACTATCACTTATATTTCTTTCATTTATCAGTAGATTTCTGGCTTTCCCATTATGTCTACCCACTATTCAAATTTAGCTCCCCATCTTCAGGGTCACATTCATTTATTTCCATAAACATAGACTCAAATTATGCCACTATTGTTGTTTACATATTATTATTGAAAATAAGGATATTTGGCATTTTGGTTAAATATTTATGTGTTTTTCAGCCTTTATTTAAGGCATGTTGTTGTTGTATGTAGTCAAGTTAGAATTGATTCTTAGCTGACCTTCCAGCATGTATTCAGAGGCAGTAAAGAAGGAGACTGCTTATATTTCTCCCTCCAAGCAGCTGGTGGATTCAATATGCATACCTATAGGACTACAATATATGTTCTTAATCACTAGGTCAGTAGAGCTCCCCTTATTCAAGACATAGCATGCGTGTAATGCTACTTAATATAGTCTTAAGTGGAAAAACCCAGAGCATACTGAAATTCATTTTCAGAGCCCTTAAGTACTGTAAGAGAGTGCTGGTAGCCTAGTGATTAAGAAGTTACACTGTCAACCCTAAAGTACACTAACTGAGTCCACCAGCTGCTCCATAGGAAAAAGAAGGGCAGGCCCCTCTCAGTAATTTAAAACCTCTGACAGCCCACTGGGGGGTCAGCTACAAGTCAGTCCTGACTCAACAGTACACAACAACAAAATATAAGTACATATCATGTACTCTATATAATATAGAATTTCTCATATTTAATCTACAATGATTTTTAAAAAATATGGGTGCATAGTTTCTTTATTAGATTTGTAAGCATTGTCTGGTTGTCAGTGATTTATATGTCTGTGAAGGAACCACTAAATATTATGAAGGAAGATAAAATTGATTCAAATTTTAATTTAATTCATATTACCTGGGAAAAAGAAACTCATTTGTAGTATTCTACCAACCATACTAGAATTACTTTCTTTAGGCTCTGAAATTTTAAATTCTTTACTTTGAAAAAAACCTTAGGAAGTAAATGACTCAAAACATATTATTTGAAACAAATTGTCTTTTATTATTTTAATTGACTTGTTTTAAATTGTAAAACATATGCAGTGCAACACGTAACACTTCAAAATTGTCAAATGTACAGTTTAATGAAACAAGCTAAATTAATCATGTGCAAACCTATTTTCTATATTACTATATTCTTGAAAAATTAGAAAATATTACTAATAATATAGTAGCTAATTAATCAATCATAATACTTTATTAATTAAATGTAGCTTGTGCTTACAATACAGTTATCTAACACTTATAAAAATTAAAACATTTTTTATTGGCTAGGGGCATTTAATTTTGCTTAAAAGGTTATCACATCATTGTCTAGTGATTGAAATAGGACAGTTCAATTGAATATATTAATCATACAAACTCTATGGTCAAAATAGATTTATTGTTGCATGATGTGAAAATTATTTTTCCGCAACATCAAAAGGAAGATACTAGCTTAAAATTTTATCTATGTTTCTTTAAAAATTTTAACTAGAAACAATTTATATATTCTGTTTAACTGGAAAAATATTGAATACATGTAACTGATTTATTTGATAAAATTTTCTGACCTTACCTGTATGATTTGAAATATCTATCATTTATTTACTTTTCAGTTTCTGTAATCAGAAAAAAAAATATCAGGCTGAAGTGCAGGATTGTGTCTACATCTTTCTTGCTACAGTCTTCACCTAAAAAAAATAGAAAAATAACTAATGACTTGAAATTTAATAGCATTGAAAGTACTGAATTTTAAGAAGCAAGTATTTATGAATAACAAAATTAAGAGTGAAACCGAAAATATTTCTCTTACCTGAATTTTCCTATGAAGGTTTATAATACTTTGTTATTTGCCTGATGGTGTACCAGCAGAATTTCTAAATATTAACCTTGGTATCTAATATTTAAGATTAAAAGAATGAAACTTCTGAGAACTATTAACAGGTCAGTGATTATAACTAAGACACAAAATTAATTTTCCATTTAGTCCTAAAGGGATTTTCTTGAATGACATCAGTGTATTTCTGTGGGGAGGTTCATTCAGTCTTCAAAACATAGAAACCATGTGGCATTAATAAAAGCTGCTAAGTTAAGATGCTGTGGTTGAAGCAAATAGTTGTCACTAAAATCCGTGAGGTTTATTTTCATGTAACTGATGTAATACTTAATATTTTTCACCATTTTGTGCAAAGTTTCAAATTGATTTTTCTGTTTATGAGATGCAATAGGTTTAATCCCATTCATGAAAAATAATGAATATTAAGTGAAGATCAATCAAAAAGGTGTGGGGAGTTCAGCCAGAAACAGACTTCCTCACTCTGAATTGAATCTGTCCTTATGTCCTTTAAACTCTCACTGTAAAACATTAATATTACTTAATCCATAAAGTACTGATTTTGTTTTCTTTTTCTGTTCAATTTGTTGTTGTAGCTGTTGTTGTTATGTGCCGTCGAGTCGCTTGTAACTCATAGTGACCCTCTGTACATGAGCCCTAAACTCTGTTCTGTCCTGTGCCAATCTCATTGTCACTGACACACTCGTACCGAATACCCCAGTCACTGAATCAATCCATCTCCTAGAGATCCTTCCCCTCCTGTGCCTGCCCTCCACCCTCCCAAGCATGATGTCCTTCTCCAAAGATGGGTCTCTCCTTACAACATGACCAAAGTATGTCAGACAAAGCCTCAGAATCCTTGCCTCCAAGGAGCAGCCCAGTTTAATCCTCTCCAGGATGAGTCTGGTTTCTTAGCAGTCCATGGTACCCTCAAAACTCTTCTCCAGCAGCACAGCAAAAAGGCATCAATTCTCCTTCTATCCTCCCTAGTCATTGTCCAACTCTGACACATAACAACTGATTGCAAAGACCATGGCCTGTATCAGATGCAGCTTAGTCTCCAGAGAGACACCATTGCTCTTCAGAACTTTAGAGAAGTCCCTAACAGCAGGCTTTCCTATAGCAATAAGTCTTTTAATTTCCTGGATGCTGGTGGTGCCAAGAGTGTTGATTGTGGAGCAAAGCAGACTAAAGCTGTGAAAAATATCAATCTCTTCACCATCCATCCTGATGCTGCCAATTGGTCCAGTGGTGAGAATCTTTGTCTTCTTGACATTGAGCCTCAATCCATATTGGAGGCTGCAGTCCTTGACCCTCTACAGCAAGCATTTCAGGTCCTCCTCAGTTTCAGCAAGTAGGGTTGTTTCATCTGCATAACGCAGATTGCTGATAGATTTTCAACCTATCCTGACCTCACATTTCTCCTCATAGAGCTCAGCCTCCCGGATGATCTGTTCTGCATAGAGGTTGAAAAGGTATGGAGACAGGACACATCCCTGACATATGCCCTTCACAATTTTGAACCATGCAGTGTTTCCTTGCTCTGTTCTGATGACTACCTCTTGGTTCAAGTAT